GTAAGAGATCGAGACCATCCTGGTCAACATGGTGAAACCCCGTCTCTACTAAAAATACCAAAAAATCAGCTGGACATGGTGGTGCATGCCTGTAATCCCAGCTACTCAGGAGGCTGAGGCAGGAGAATAGCCTGATCCCAGGAGGCAGAGGTTGCGGTGAGCCGACATCACACCATTGCACTCTAGCCTGGGTAACAAGAGCAAAACTCCGTCTCAAAAAAAAAAAAAAAAAAAATAGGCTTTACATTAGATGATTTTGCCCAACTGTAGGCTAATGTAAGTGTTCCAAGCACATTTAAAGTAGGATATAAGGTTATATCCTTATAACTAAGATAAGTTATACTGTTCAGTAAGTTAGGTGTATTAAATAAATTTTCAATTTATAATGGGTATTTTGGGATGTAACCCAATCGTAAGTCAAGAAGCATCTGTATACTAAAAGACTTACGATGGCTCTTAATTGCTTATTGAAACAAATTAAATTTTTTGATGACCTCGAAGCAATTATTTTTATTTTACCCCCCTAGCCTTATATTTCTCACTGTAGTTTTGTCAGATACACCTGTACTTCTCCCCAGCTCCATCTCCCATCTTTACCCTCATCTCCTACCACACTGACGCTCAGGGCACACTGTGTGTCCAGCTAAGTCATATTCATTATTCCTGAATGCCCTTCTTTTTCAGTCCCATGTTGTTACCCCAATAATGCCCATCTCTACTTTTTTCCACCTAACATACTCATTATTCATAGCCCAAATACCCTTTGTTTAAGAAAAAAAAAAACCTCCTTTACTATGCAAAACTATTGTTCACACTGCCTCAAAACATTTTATTATAGGGCTTAACTGTGTATGTACATATTAGCAAGTCTTACTTATCCTCCTTGTTTCACTAACTTCCAGCACAGTGCCTAGCCTATGGTAGATGGCTAGTAAATTATTTTAAGTATCTATGCCTTTGAAGTTTATATTTATTATCATGGATTTTTTTTAAGAATGGAAAACCCCCAAATATTTTTTGTAGTAACTTATACTTTGTGATTTGTATTAGAATAGGCTACAAATCTTAAGAGTTGGCTGGGTAGGTAAGAATAAAAAACCTAGTATCAGTTAAAATTGCCTCTGATACATGAATAAGCCAGACTAGCACACACACAAAGATTTTTTTTTTATTTTGACTGCTTAATCAGTAGTATATTTTTTATTAGAGGCCGTTACTGAAGATAATTTTCAGGTATCATTAATGAAGGTTTTCACTTCATTTGGGGTTGGGAGATCTCTTAGGGAGAAAAATGAGCTAAGACACCTCTGACTTGATGGCAGTGACAGATAGCGTGGGGAGGATACATCTTGGTGTCCCCTGCAAGAAGGAGGCAGCTTGAGGCTGAGCCCGGAAGGCTGACACTTTTTGCTGTAAGGCAAGGAAAGTGGTAGCAACAGGAGAGCAATAGGGGGCAGCAATGGGAGTCTAGATGCTGATAAGGTTTCCAATTTTGCTGCTTTAACATTTGTACCAACTACGTTAGTGATACCATTAGGAGCTCTGAAAATTTTGTGCCATTTGTTCTTCATGCTTTCTATGAAGGCCTTAAATATTGTGGACAAATTTATTAGTTGTTAAATTGATTAGTTGTTAAATCAACTAAGATCTATAGTTATGGTCATTCATTCTCTTCAAAAGAAGAGAAGATAGTTCTTCAAATAAAATGTCTCATCAACTAAGTGATCCAGGTTTTGTGGTCTTTGAAATGCTCACAGCCATTGTGCCACTGGTATTAACCATTGTAGTAAGATCTCTAAGACCAAACATTCTTCTTTACCTAACAATCTGCTCTGTAATTAGAGGATTAAAATGTCCTGTATTCAGCCAGCCGCAGTGGCTCACAGCTGTAATACCAGCACTTTGGGACCTCAAGGCGAGCAGATCACTTGAGGCCAGGAGTTCAAGACAAGCCTGGCCTATATAGTGAAACCCCATCTCTATTAAAAATACAAAAAATTAGCCGGGCATGGTGGCCCACCCCTGTAATCCCAGCTACTTATGAGGCTTGAGTCATGAGAATTGCTCGAACCCAGAGGCGGAGGTTGCAGTGAGCCCAGATTGCACGACTGCACTCCAGCCTGGGCAACAAAGTAAGAGTCTGTCTCCAAAAAAAAATACTTTTGTATTAAAGAGATGGCATTACAATTTTACAGTTAAAGAATTTTTTGCTGTGCTTAAACATCTTCTTGGCCTGGATTTTGCTGCCAAGCCTTATAGTCTTTGTAGTCTGTATATACAGAGTAATTATTTAAACAGGGGCCCCATATATGTGACACACTTCTACAATGACTCTAATATATTTTTGATTATGTCAGTTTTAATTTGTTTAGCTATTCTTTTCAGAAAATGGCAGTATATGCCTGTTGATGATGTTACTGTATTTCAGAGGTACTACATATCTTTAAAGATGGTAGTTTTGGTCTAGCAAATCTATGTCCTTTCAAAAAGCAATAAATGTGAATCTCTGATGTGTAACAACTTTGTGATAATAATAAAGAAAGTTTACTCTGTATGAAATAGCATTGTATCTTAATGTTCTCTAGAGACAATCTTTAAGGTTTTACTACTGTTGACCAATAATTACTTACAGTTCAGCTGTGAGAGCTCACAAAAAATGACTTTATTACATGGCCAGTTTCTATTTCTGTTAATTAACATTGTTTTAATTCTAGAGATATTTTCAATTTTCATCTTCTACCAAGAACTTAATGCATTAATGATAAACTTAAGCAGTTTAGGATCATTCATTTATTGGAGCATACAGTCTGGGGCCGGATGGAAAGAGAGCTCCATGAATGTATGAATGCAGTGCACTCTTACCAGAGTCCAGCAATAGTGATATATACGAGAAGGATGGTAAAGGTGATTAATTTTAAGTGGGAGAGGATAGTAGGGTGAGAGGATGCATATTAGAGGAATGGCTTTATCATGGAAGAATTCTACTAATACTTCAAAGACACATGGGACTTTTCCAGGCAGACATGGTCAGGGAAGAGTTTTCTAGGGGTAAGAAGTGGTCATGGAGGCATAAAAGTATGATATAGTCAATAAATAAAAGGAGTTCAGTACTACTGGATGATATAAAAGGAAGAGTAGTGACAGATAAAGATCAAGAAATAGGTCAAAACCAGATAATGTAGTCAAGCAGAAAGAAAATCAGCATAAATATGGTTTTCTAATGCTATTGATGATTTTATGGCAGCCAGTGTCTAAGGTAACAATTCCTTCTGCTTTTGTGTGTTTTTTACTTTTTCACTAGTGGAACAGTTACAGTTTGAATTTCTTTTCATTTTCTAGCAAAGCCTTTCCAAAATGTTTATTGATCATTATTTTCATAAAGTCTTTATGATAATTAGTTAAGCAATAATTGCCAGTCTAATAGCACTAATAGCCAGTGTTACTTAATGAGACTAAAAAGGTCTCTAAATATTTGGTAATATTTATACATATGTATCATTTTTTAAAGTGCAACTGAGATTTTCATATTTCTTATGATAGACTCATGATAGACTTCATTCTTGCACAACAATCCTTTAAACTTTACCTATGAGGTACTTTTATACAGTTATTGTCTTTACACATTATTACAGCTTTACATGTTATTGATGAATAAAAGACTTTTGTCCTAGTCTTATAATACATTGGCTTCATGGCAACAACAACAACAACAAAAATACCAAAAGAAAGCATTACCACCATCTTCTCTGTTTTGTCAAATTTAGATGCCAGTCTGGACAGGTGGGTCATATCACAGTGCTGGAGAAGAACTAGAACTCATCAGGGCATGGACAAACTGCAGTATTCCCTAAAAACAACCAAACTTGAAGTTTGCTTCTATCTTTATCAACTCCTCACCTATGCTGGAATAGGGATTTTTTTTTTTTTCTGTATTAAAACCCTGTGATGTTGCAGTTAGTAATGATTGTGCACTGCTCTACTCACATTATTGTTCACCACACCTATTACATAATGTACTAGTTTTATTGTAGTCTTTGTTTAAATATGAAAACAACTGTAGATTCAGATGCTGTTTGGGGATTTCAAAGAGCAAAGAAAAAAAGGATATAAAGCTGAAATTGGTCTTTAAACATGTTTGACATAGGAATTGAAGTGCTTTTCATTCATTTTTTTCATAGACTAAACATAGGCCTTTTGATATTAAATTTTTAATAACTATAATGAAATTAAAATTAAACTATGGGTCACAAATCTATCCATTTTCTTCTAACTGCTGTTTCTCTCAAACACTAGAATACTGCCTATTTAAATCTTAACTTTTGCTTGCCAAACCACTGTTACCGTCCATCTGTTCATGCCAATTGTAAAGAAGGTTCAGTTTTTAGTGAAGCTTTGCATTTCACATAAGGTATGTGAAGTGAAATTTCACAAGGGACATGATGGATCCTGATTCTTAGTGATAAACCTTTGGGGCCATCAGGGTTGGCATATGGTCCACTATGATATGAAGGCTTGGGTTCCCTGGCTTCACTTCTTTGGCGTGAAGCTGATAAAACCTGGCTCTTGAGTATTATTTCACTGGACACCAATCATGGGCAGCAGGAACTGCCCATTTAACTCTCTGTGGGAAGGAAGCCCAGAGAGCATTCACAATGGTACCATTGTCGAGTTGCAAACTGCTCTGAACAGCTTGACAGCACTAGGGAGGAGGGGAAGGGGTTGCTTTACTAATTGCTGTTCAGAAGAGAAGCAGCAAAAATAGCTGTTGCAGAACTGATGTTTCTACATTTACTTACTCTCTTGATAAGAATGTTGACTTTTATTTAGCACATAGCTGCTATCAAAAAAAAAAGCAAATGAATATATTTAAGCAGCCACCTGTAGTAATTCCTTGTTAACATGCCATTATCTATTTTTAGCCCATCATATTATTGCAGAGCAAAAGTCAATTTTGTCTTAATGATTTTTTTATTAGATGAAAATAAGGAATTTTTTATTTTCATAAGAATTTAACTGAGGTGAAGTGGATAAAATTATCACAATTCATATGTCAGATAAGGTTATAAATTTGGTTTAATTTACACTTTGCTTTTTAGGATTCCCGAATGCCATCTGAATACATATAAACGATATTAGTATAGAAATGCAAACTAACTTTCTACATAGCACAAGTGCTAAAATAATCCACTAAAGATAAACTAGTCAGCACATCTTAAGGTTAAATGCCAGATTTATTATTTGAGTAGCTCATAACTATTTCAGTCATGTATGATTATCTCACTCATTGAATTCCCTCTGGTTGGATTTTTTTTTTAATGTGAGGGTTGTTTCCTTTTTTATGAAATATTGTATGCCCTGATATTTATATAAACACTCCTCTTGACCTGTTTTCTTCTAGTCAGCTTTGTCAGCCAGCAGTTGGGTAGTTCTGTTGCAAAAAAACAATGATCTACAACCTGAAAAAAAAATTAGTGCTTATTTTCGGACTCCAGGGATTCTGACCCCATAGATTATTCTTTTTTTCTTTCGGCTGAAATGAAATTGACTAAATTATATTGCAGTAACAATGATTTATGTAGCATCTTCTTAAATAGGATAAGGAAGAGATATTTTAAGAAAACTTTTAAAACAGTAAAGTTTTGTAACAGGATGCTCTTGCTAGATTTGGGGAAGTTCAAGTGCATGTTTTGTAAAATTAGAAAATCTGTAAAATTTACTAGTATTTCATATCTTGTGTTCTCTTAAGTAATTTTAGTAAATGGGCACACCAGTGCAGTATTTCAAAAACAGTAATTCATTGAATGCCCATTCTTCCTTTTACTGCAGAATAGATTATATTTAAGTCAAGATTAATGGATAGATTTTGATGTTAAAGTCCAGTGTCTAAGCCTGTCATTCCCTGGGGGCATATAGTGCATTAGTTTAAGCCAATGTACTGCTTATCATAGATTCTATGACACTGTCTTAAATGACAGTTCACTGTACTTTGTTTCTACTTACTATAATAATGAAATCACTTTTTTTGTATTCCCAATAATTATAGCACTTAAACAAAAATCTTAATTAAATTAGTGCACATTTAGGTAGAGATAACACTTAAGTAATTGTACACTGTAAAATTTCACTTATTTGGTTTTTGTTTTGTTTGGTTTTTTTTTGTTTTTTTGTTTGTTTGTTTTTTTCCTTTTTGCAGTCTTCTGACAGGGTCCAAGTTTAGTATTTTGCTCAAATACTTTTGTTTCTTCAACTTTAATGTACTAAAAATTATGTTCTCAAAAAGAACAACACACAAGATTGTTTCTAGTATCCTCCCAATGTTTTTTTAAACTCTTAAGCTAATACTAGTGATTTTCAAGCAGTTCTCTGTTGACTTTGAAAGTCTCATTATTACTAAATTAATGATAATGTTTTCAAGTAGATCTTTCCAAGAATGAGAGTACATTATAATTTCACTAAATTTGAAATCCAGATAACCTAGTGTTTCTGTTTTGCTTCATAAAACTTTCATGAAAGTAGAATGTGTGTATATATATATATATATATATATATACACACACACACACACACACACACATACAGATATTGGATAATCATATTAGTGCTTTTTGAAACCCACCAATGATTATTGGATTATTAAATCAGGAAGGATTTTCAGAGCCTTTAGGTAAGTTTAAATTTTTAAGCCTATTTATTTAAGGTTAATCTTTTTAAATGTATTTACACAAACTTTGGTGGAATTGGGCTTATCAACTTTTTACTTAATGTTTTCATTTAGTAATTGACTGATTTATGAGCAATTATATGTGTTCCAAATTTTATTCAACTCCAGCTTTCAATTTCTGTATCCTCACACTGCCTTAGCACCTGTTATGGATTTTGAGTCATCTGGCAGCCCATGGGACTTAGATAAAGAAGTACCAGGTGTCCTGCCTGTCTCCTAATTGAGACGCAGTGAAAACAATATAGACTTGGCAATATGGTTAAAAGGATGGATTAAAGCCCAGCTTTGTCTGCTCTGACAAATCACAGCTTTTCCTTCATGGTGTAGATAGTATCAACCACTGAAGAATTTCATGAATATAAGGCATCATAAAAATAGACAATAATTTGTCATAACCTGTTGCAGACTTTCAGAAGAATTTTTATTAACATAGTGTAAATAAGCAATATTAATAACGAGATTCATGCTATTTGTTTAGGGAAATTTTATTTTTTACTGCATATAAACTAGACTGCATGTTTCTGGAAGAAGTTAGTTACAGTGGGAAAGATGGAATATCCTTCCCTCTGCCAGATCCTAATTTATCAGATCTTGCTTTATAAGGTAAGCAGTAGAGTTTGCTTTCATCTTATAAATGAACAATGTCTATTAGTTCATGAGACACTAATTATCCTATGTATTTCAGAAAACATGGCACTTTACTACTGATAATAACCATGAGATCCTTGAGATGTACTTGCAAAGTATGTCTACCCATATGCTATGTCTCAATAAAATTCTTATTTTTCATTCTTTTTTCAAGACCCTCTGTAATGATATTGCCTCAGAATATTTAAAGATATTTCAAGGCCTTTTAAACTGAAGTGTCAAATGTGGTTTGTTTTCTCATCTTTATTTTAGAACATGCAAGGGGTTTTACTGTAGTATAGTCACTATAGTAAATTACAGTAAATATTATTTAATATATAAACAAACATCTTTCAAAAATTGCCAGTCTTAGAATTTAAGCTAATATTCATTATTTTGAGATAACTAAAAGGCCTTTGCTTTTTCACCACGCAACACCCAAGTCATTGAGATTGGATGTAGAGAGAGCATTGGACTATTAATTGAAAGACCAAGATTTTAGTCCCATCTCTATCTGTCAGCAGCTTTGTTTATCCAAGCAAATCTTTGTACTTTCTATTCAGGCTAGCCTTATTGATGCCTATAAACATTAGTAAAATAAACTAATTTTACTAAGTTTCCTGAAAGCAATGTTGATGGGTGTATCCTTCCTTTAGTTCAAATTGTCCTAAATATTCTCAATAAATGATGCCTTGTCTTGGGATAACCTCTTTTAAGATGGCCTTTTCAAAAACCTAAATATAACATTTTTCAAGTATTATTTTTCAAGGGTATTATCACTTCTATTCTTATGATATACAGAGCAGTTTTGGAAATCTGCCTAAAATGATTTGAAATTACCCGTCATTTAATTTTCCTTATAGAGATTTTCTCATTCTTCCCCTTTTTCCCTTCTCTATAAATGGCCACTTAAGCAAATAGAATTTGTTTGACTAAATTCATTGTCTCATACCATTGTAGAATTTATGAAAAAACTTTAAACTTTTAAGAAATTATCACAACCAATGGGGGAAATATTTAGTTCAATGCTAAATTATGAGTTATAATTACATTACATAAAGAAAAAAATCTTTAAGATTATGAGGATTTATAGAAGTAATTATCAGTTTTCTTTTTCTTTTCTCTTAATGTAGTACTTTACATATTTATATATTGTGCTTTAGTCACTTTTTTTTTTTTTTTTTTGGTTCCAGAGAGGGCCAGCAAAATCAAAGGGCACAGTAGAACAAAAATTTTTCTCACAAGGAAGATTCAAACTCTAAATCCAGTCCTAGGAAAGTTTCAACTACATTTGCCCCAAAAAGGTTTGCCTTTATGGAACCACATTGGGATTAGAGGAAAGGGGCGTCAGTGTGACAGACACCTCCTAATCTACTATCAAACCAACTTTATTCACTCCTTCTAGAAGTTGTAAGCAAGTCATTGAATACTACTGTGCCCTGTGTTGGGTGCTGAAGACGTAAAGATAAGAAGACATGTTCTCTGTCCCCATGGCAATAGTCTCATCACTAGTCTGTAAACCACAAAATGGACAATTAAAATTTCAATAACGTAAGTAGAATGCCTGGATTACTAGTCTCTAAAGTGAAGTAGTAGCATTTAAGGACCACCAAATCTGCCCCCAAGAATCAGGGACAAAACTGTTTCTTAAGAAAGTGTACTTAGTGGAAGAACAAGCCTAAGGAAAGAGGCTCTCTAAAGGGGGCCTGGGAGGTGGGTGATTTGCAGCAATCTTCAAGATGTGTGATATGGAAACTTACTATAGCCAGTTGCAGGCTACCAGCCTTACAAACTTTATAAGTATTGAATAATTGACTCTGATCTGCTCAACTTAAGTAGTACTTAGATTTCAGCTACTTAAGTTACATCTCAATTACTACTTAAGTTGTACTCTCAAAAAAAATTTTTTTAAATCAGTAGGCAACATTTCTAAGTAATTATTGGAATGCTTCCTCCTCCTATGATTACTATTCTTGGAATCTTCTCTAGAGAAAGGAGATAAAATTCCTAAGTGCTAAAACTGCAAAGAAGCTATAGAAATGTATGAGTGTAGGGAAGTGCTTACTAAATTAAGAATTTCAGAATGGGCCTTAAATCCCTGAGACTAGGCCATTGAGCACAGATATAAACACTTTATACTTGCCTTTATTTTAAAAGGAGTCAATTTTTTTTCTTGTTAAGGAAAAACAACATGAAACCTGAACTTAGGAGGAAAATAAGCAATCATGCAAATCTTTGATATCTGCTTACAAGTTGTAATTTTTATAATTTCTTTTTGTGAAAATTATACTTTGTATTCTTGTGTGTAACGTGTATACACATATATACACACACACATTTCCATTTCTTTCAGACTAGTCACAAATTACATTTGAACTAAATGTTTCTACAACCTACTGGTTGTCCCGTGGAATTACAAAACTGAAAGCTTCCCCTTTTCTAACAGTACAAACAGTTCAGAATTACCAGATTAATAAAATTATTGTGGAGAATGAAAAGCATTGCTTCTTTAAAACCAGGTCTACTTTTATATATTCTTCTATGTGTTAATAAAGTTGATAGTACATAATGTTCTGCAGTATCTTTTCTCTTTTTCCCCATGAGAAATCAGTTTCTTTGCATCATAATAAGTCAAAACCCTCTGTACATGTAACAAGAAATATTAGTGGTATTATCTTTTTTTATTAGTGGTATTATCAAAGAGTTCTTGCACATGAATACAGGTATATTTCTTAAACTGACATCAAAAATTGTCCTCCTAGAGGCAGCACCTGCTATATACAAATATATGAGCCAAAGGCCAAAATAAACTTTTCAAGACAGATGTAGGGACACTTTTGATTTACCCTGTATTTGTAACCTTTATCTTCAGCACCCTATGAAGTGAGTAGGTGATGGTATCCCCATTTAACATACAGATGTATCCCCATTTAACATACAGATAAATTATGGCACAGAAAATTTATGCTTATCTTTCCTGGCTCAGTCTGAAATTGAACCCATTTTCTTAATAGCTGGTCTTGAAGTTTAAAATCAAGAGTAGTAACTTAAAATATGTAATGATGTTAACTTAATGAAGTACAGATTAGATTTAAACTGTTCTTTATGCTATAGATGTTTTGTTCCCTTGTTTTTAGAATAATAATATTCCTACCCCCCCCACCCCCCTCCCGTCCCCCTTTTCCTTTTTTAAAAAGGGGGAGGGGGGTTTGGGGATAATTATATTGCTGTGATTGCATCACCTGTGTGTTTTTTTTTTTTTTTTGATTGGCTAGTTCTGTATTAAAGATTCCTACTAGTTAAAAGTCTCCCTCATCCAACAGTTTTTATTAGATAATTTTGCCTTGAGTTGTTTTACAACCTAAATCTGCTTACCTCAACTTAGATTTGTATTTTAAATTTTTGTTCTGAATTTTTTTATTAGTTTACCTTCACCTTTTTTATCGTCCTTCCTATTTCAGTTTTTTAATTCCAATGCCAATGGCAACATGCGCTCACCATATAAAACTATAGCTTGAGTTGTCCTCTTGTTGCCAGCTGTGGAGTTTGTGTGCCACTCAACGTATATGTACTAATAACTCTTCCCTAGAGAGATGTCTTTTATGGAATAAGTGTCTAAGCTTTTATAAGGAGATACGGGAATTAACTGCTTTGGATGATTACAATTGCAGATTCTAAAGCACTGTATGGAACTTTAATCATCTCAATCACAAAAAGCACCTCGTTGTGGACTCAAGGCTATGGTTTAAGTGCTTAGAGTTTATTATATTTCCTTCATACATGTTTTCTGAAGTAAAAAAAGATGTAAGTCCTATAGACTGGGTTGGCTTGTTTTCATGTTGTTATTTATTTATTTGGCTACATCACACTGGGAAACTTACAAAGATCATTTAGATTTTAGAAGGTCAGTTAGCTTAGATATGATTATTTTACCAAGCTAACAGTGTTTCCTGAAGGTGGCCCCCAAAAAGGAAACTTACCTAATAAGTGATGAGCACTGTAGTTTTTTCATTTAAATTCAACCATTAATGATTGCTTCCCTTCACTCTGCCACCTAGACTTGAACTTTAAAAATAATTTAAGAAAGCATTGTTTTCATTAATGAAGATTTAATGTAAATTTATTAAATATGTTTTTATACAAAATGAATATGTTATATCTGGATAATTTCAGTTTTGTGTAGCCGTGTATTAGGGCTTTTTCTATTTTATAAGCCTCTTTTTGTATAGAGAAGTAGAATTAATCTGCACAATGTATTTTATCTAGATAATCATTTTCTTGCTTTGATGAATTTACTACATTGGAAATATCTACCCTGCTTTAGAAATATTAACGTTTGCTTTCTTTCTGCCTAATTTTTGTGTAATCTCTAAATATAATAAAGTAAAATATTTCATTTATAGGCCCTTTGAAAGTAGAACATTTTTAAAAGCAGGTAGGTGTCTCCACCCTACTTTTCATGAAGCGTTTTACCCATTCAAGCAGACTTTTAAAAACAGCTTGTTTTGATAGCAGACTTTTCTCCTGTGGGCCTTCAGCCTTTGCTTCCTGGCAGCACCTTTGGTGCGAAAAGAGAGTGATCAATTGGAAGACTATCAGTGCCAGCATGCATAGAGTGATAAGTTAACACACCACTGGGAATTTCTAGGGCCCACCAAGATACTTCACTTCTAATGTGCTAACAAGCTCATTTTTCTACCTCTTGCCTCTTCAGTTATTTTTTTTCTCAGAAGAGCTTAGAAGTTGAGTGCATCAGGCATAATGAAAAGCTCTGTAGGAGGGAGAAGCAATAACCCCATTTTTCCCTTTTCAGCCAAATAGAAAATTAGTTTCTGGTAATACACAAAGGCCAGTATTTTTTGTACAAGGGGCACTGCTGTGAATCAAAGGAGTCTATTAACTGCAGAAAATTCGGCAGCTGTGAATCTCCCCCAATGAAAAAAGTACTTTCCAACAAGTTGTGAGATATGTGGTATTATTTAGATTGTACCATCAGTTTCATCCTCTTCCATTTATAACCATATACTCCTTTTAAAAGTGTGCTATATTACTCGTCTATGTTAAGACTCAAAAATGTCCACATTATCCTCATGTAAAATCTTTGATGCTGATCATTTTAATATGCATCTTTTCCTGTTGCTTCCCACCTCAGAAGTAAAATTTTTTTGAAGTTCATCCCCAGTATACAGAATGGAAAGTAATAGATTGCCAGGAATTGGAATTTAAGGTTATTTTAATATTTGATACATAAGATAAATCATAATATGAAAGCCACTTAGAGAGCAAAAGATACCACAATCAAAGTCAAGTGCGTAATGAATATAGTCTAACCTTTAACTCCTACTTTTTTTTTTTCCTCTTCTTAGTAAACTCTTGTAAATGTAACTAACTGGTCATGGTATCTCCCGTTGAATTATCATTTAAAATTATCTTCCTCTCAAATTATTTTTTTGGGTCTTGTTGGCTTAGTCTACAATTTCTAGAATTTTACAACTATATAATAATTGACTGCAATTTTTAAAAAATAAGGAATTTTGAGGGGAAATATTAAAGTGGACTTTGGAGGGAAATTCAGTGGGCAAAAAAAGAAGAATCAGTAGACAAATGTTTATTATCCTTATTTAAATATCTTATGTAAAGCCTGTCAGCATAGCACACTGAGTACCACAGGGAAACTTTTAAAAGTTTTAAAAGAAAGGTTAACTGATTTCTCAGTTCAGGAACTATACGACATGAAGTCAGCATGTGAGTTTTTCCTGATAATTGTATGTTGCTGCCTGCTGCTCTACATTTTGACAGCCATTTCCATAGTTGCTTTCGTGAACAACAGAAATATTCTCTCTCTTTCTCGCCCTCTCTGTGCTAACAGCACAATCAGGCCTGCTAAAACAGGAAGCCTGGAGTGGGTTGTTCAAAAGCAACAACACTTCAAGGTAGTGGTTGCTTGTCAATAATATCAGAGAAGAAAATGTGGTGAAAGGGAACTTCAGTATTTTTCTGTCAGTGTCAGTGCCCTGGAGATGCTTTGTTAGACAGCATTTAGAAGTCCTGTAGACTCTTTGCAAATATTCCTGCTTGTTTCAGTGTTATAATTGACTAGGTATTTTTTCCCGGCATACAGATTCAGCTATGTATTTTTCTTAACCGCATGGAGTTATTCGAGGATTACAGCAACAGTAGCCTTCCATTCAAAATGAGAACAATTGTTGAGAAAATGCAGGGATTTTATAAAAAGATACGTAGGAATTTTTCATAATAAATCATTACAAATGAAAAACAGAATTTTGGACATAGTATCTTAAGCAACATTACAATATTTATTGCATGGCTTTTGAGAGTAAATCTGCAGATGGAACCTGATTAACAAGATAAGATGAGCCTAGGCTGATAGAAATTTCAGCCTAGACTCCTGATAGAAATTGAATCCTTTCTCAAATAAACCATCAACTTCATTCATTTCATTAGTATTACTGTAATTATTATCTAATAAATGTCTCCCTGTTAAGCTGTCATTTATAGTGGGATCATGAAGAGTAAACTTAGGTTAAAAACTGTATTTTTGCTCTTTAAAAAGCCACATTGTTAATAATATATAACAATAATTAGTGAATAATTCTATTTATTAAGAAGTAATAGCTTAGCATCATAGCAGTCCTTTTTGATAAGATTTTTTTTCCAGTATAAGCTGCATTTAAGTTTATCCTTAACCAAAGGAAAATCAGCTATGAGGAGAGAGCACGATACCTGCAAACAATTGTCCAGCACCACTTAGAACCAACAACATTTGAAGATTTTGCAGCACAGGTTTTTTCTCCAGCTCCCTACCATCATTTACCATCTGATGCCGGTAAGATTAAAAGCAAGTATTAGTTATTTGTTATTGAAACTTGAAATGCAGTACGCTTTTGTTCTAAAAACTTGCTTGAAAAAATTTCTAATAATGAAGTACAAATTTTTTATCACTTTAATATTTGAATTTGGCCTTTAAATTTGATTTATGGTTTCTTTTACCTAAATGCAATTCCTTAAAAAAGTCAACAATCTTCATAAAAGTACATGTACCATATTTTATCTGAGCTAATGGTCAGTGACTCTTGCATCTTCTGGAATCATTTCTGAAGTATCTGCAAAAGAAATACAAGTTAAGCACGCACTCTCAATTTTAGAGAATCAAATTTTATGGCCAAGAATATTACCCCCTCATCTCTGATTTTACAGATAAAGCTAAAATAACTGGTCTAGATGTAGAAGCACTTAATATTTTAATAATTAAGGATTATAAGAGGGTACTGCATTTTACGATTAACTAATTTTGAAGAAATCAGTAAGAAAATAAATGACTCATGGCCTTCCTATTCTGTAATATCTTGCACTCCTTATGATTGTTTCATTTATTTTATTTTCCCTCTTTAGATCATTAAATATCAGTTCTGTTTATCTGAAGGTAAGACAAAGTGTCAACCAAAACACCCTCTGTTCTCCCATTTCCTTTTTTCAAAATTAGCAAGCTCTAAGCTTGTAACTTAAACAATAAGTAAACTTAACACTGTCTGGTTCATACTAAACATTTCAGAAATTGTCACTAAATTTTTTCCGGAATTATACTGACTAACCCAGGTCTGCATGAAACACTAACATGGTTTGGGGAGAAAAATAACTAATAATAGAATCCCTTCATTGAAATTAGTTATACCTTGTTATATTGACTTTTTTTTTTCTGTTTCTCAGCATGAAAAAGTAGTACTATTGAACTGAAGTAGCGTGACTTTGTATTTTGTGATGTGTTACACTGTTATTGGATATCCTAATTCATCAAATGGTAACTCTCTGTGTGCCTTGCACTTCACTAGGCACCTGAAATACAAAGATGACTGTTGTAATGGTATCCAACGGAAGCAGGAAAAGAGAATATAATATGCTTGAAGTTTATCATAATAAACGTTCAAATTTTCTTTGTGTTAAATAAGTTTTCTTTATATTAAATAAATTCAAAAGGCACAACACTTCTTTTCTACGCTATTTGGAAAAAATTACTGTAATTCTCAATTGAGGTTTAGTTAATGAAATTAAAGCTTCCAATCCTGTCATCATTAAATTGCCATTAAAAAAAATAATTTTACAAAAACACTTAGATCCCTTTCAAATACTTTAAAAGACCTAGCAAAGAGAAAACCATATTAGACCAGGTTGAATCTTTCGAAAGAGATTAAAAAGTCCAAGATTCACTTTAGTGGATTGACACTATCCAAAATTAGTTTGGCATTTAAAAAGATGATAAAAGAGAAATATTAAAAATAAATTAATGAACAGCAAAATAACTAATTATATCTGGCAATTTCCTTGTTTAATAATGGAGAAGATCTGATAAAATGTCAGACTATATTAAAAGAAATATTAATAACACTTGCATATCATAGAGTCAAGCCATAAATTTCACAAGTAAAAAATATTGATAATAATACCACACTTGGACTAACGTTTCCCCTTAAATTGATAAAGGCTGTTCGATTCTCATGTGTCATTGTTTACCAGCTGTACTCTTTCATATTTGTCATCTTAATGTACTCCTCATATTTGCATGTTATCCTGCACATTTGGCCACGTATTGTAGAAGTAAGTAGTATTCTCACTTCTGAGACATTAAAGGATGCTACAGCAGCCAAGTGAAGTTTCTGTTGGCTTCATTTTTAATGTGTCTTACAAAATTATTGTGTAAGTTGTTTCAAATAACATTTATGATAATATAAATAGTAGTAAAAATATGAATTTGAACATAAACCTAATATTGTGCTAC